GTGTTGTGCCATTGGCTGATCTTTAATAAATATGTGAACCAGTGTATCAGACTCATTATGAATTGACATTAGCTTGGTACAACGTTAAGTAGCTTCCGATGTAGTTAAGCTACTTTTAACACATTAGTGTAACTTAGCTTGCTATAATTCTTTAGGTGGTAGCTTTGGTGTAGTGAAGCTTAATTTATTGTTGAGTAACTGATAGCTTAGCTCACTACAATGGACAAATAGCTTGCCCAACACTGGTAGCCTCTGTTATTAGTGTTTTTTTCATTAGAACTACAGGAATTCACCTCAGCCTCTCTGCCTCTGCATTTTGGGTCCTCTTAACTACAACCAAGACGTGACAGAGGCTGCCCTGCAAACAATAGCAAATAAATATTGGTGAAAGGGAATCAAAAATGTTTATAGCTTACAGTCTTTGTTCATTTTAACAGCAGTTTTCAGAACTCCTGTCTGACTCAGAATATTTAGTTTTAGAAAAGAAATCCTAACGTTGGTTACTTTCATTTCTCAAGTTTCACAACAAAACTCTCTCCTGCTTCCTTACAGAACTGCAATCAGAAGCTTTCGCCTGTTTAAGCATAGATAATATTTAGTTTTTTAATTGGGACTAGTTTAGTAGCGTAATATTAATTTTGGTGACCGCTGTATTCTAGCATCATATTTTTTTTTTTTCGCGCTCCAAGCACGCATGGGCACACATACAGACTAGAAAACAAGCATTCAGAAAGAGAGAAGGAGGAACTTAAGGCAGAAAAATCACAGAGTTAAACACCTCAGCACAGTTGATGCACTGCTATGTGAAAGATACAGGAAAGACCAGGCAGCTGCAGCTACCAGGCAGAGGAGCTGCGAGAGGAAAAGAAGCCACTGCTGCAACAACGCTGTATAGTAAATTATAAACATGTTGTTCACATCCAATTATTGGCAGGGACAATTAGGTCGGTTCAAAATTTTGGTAGGGACATGTCCCTATGGTCCCCATGGGCGTAGGTTTGTGTTGAATTCATGTTAATGTGTATTTAAAGACATTTCAATTAGTAGAAAGAATTGCAGGGGGGAATATAGAAAAAAAGTCAAATCAACCAAAACTTTTGTGATCCCCATGCAGTTCCACCTTGGACCCCCTGTTGAAGACCTCCGCTCTATAGTATCAATAAATTAAATTCCATTCAAGTATTTGTTTTATTTTCTTTATTTATCAACATTTAAAAGTGTATAAAATAATGTAAGTCACTTTGGTGTGTCCTGATTAGAAAAGCTGATATATAAGTACAAGCCATTTACCATTTATCATAAAAACCCCATTGAGATTGACAACTTATTTGCAAAGGGAGACCTGAGCAGGAAGTCTGCAGCAGACATCACAACTACAGTGATCAAACACACTTTAAATCATTATAGTAATTACAACTGAAAAAAGAACAACAAAAATATCAAATTTTGCAATTAACACCAAACAAGTAAAAAATTAACAAGAAAATGTAAAATAAAATCAAAAATAAAAAAATAGCAAAAGAAACAACAAAAACAACTCAAGTCTTTCAAAATAAAGTAAACAAAAACTTTTCATCAATAATTATCTGATGATCATATAAAAATTAGTTTCACTATTTAGTGATAATTAAATTTAGACCACTGTAAGGTGGCACAGTTTGCAGAGCGGCTGGGTTTGATTCCTGGCCTAGAATCTTTCTACATGGAGTTTGCATGTGGTATTTGGGTTCTCCAGCTTCCCTCCACAGTACAAAAATCTGACTATACAGTAAGGTTCATTGGCATCTCTATATTGTCCTTAGGTGAGAGTGTATGTATGTGTGTGGTTTTATCTCTACATGTTTTGGGGTTGCCCTAGAAAGAAAGAAAGGATGGATGGATGGATGGATGGATGGATGGATGGATGGATGGATGGATGGATGGATGGATGGATGGATGGATGGATGGATGGATGGTCATCAGAACATTATAGTCAGTCAGTCAGTTCAATAATATTGTGAAATAAATTATGTTTATAAATTCGCCATGACGACCAGTATCATTGTGTCAGATGTTTGTGATCTGAAAAAAATTAGTATTCAGAATAAATTTGTCACATTTATTAATATTTACAGCCATGTTCAAAAGTAAAATTAAAGTCTTACCCTTTTCATTATGTTCGCTAATTTAAGCTCTTGTTCACCTCCTTGAATGATTTCAGTACCCGTGCAAGTTCTTTTGAAACATCTAACAATGTAATATCTGTTTATTAGTGGCATAAAATATGTGCAAAATACTGTTCAGTCCATATCTTGAACACAAATACTCTTGCTTTACCTGGAACTGATTGGTCATCAGCCTTGAGCGAGAGTTCAATGGTTCCGTCCAAAGTAGCCATTGTTTGCAGGACGTCCTTCTAATTAAGCATAAAACCTTCATTATTGCATAGACATGTAAAAATGCACTCAGCTGTTTTTATTGTCCTGGGGGCTGTTGCAAATGCATTAAAATTAAGACAAACACAGTGGAAAAACTCTCACATGTAAACGTTATTCAGCTGATACTATAAATAATAAGCAATATTAATATCACTGCTACTGCTGCTGCTCTGATCTACTCTACTTTCATAACACACCTTTATGTGCAATATTATCATCTGTGAATGCAGGGGCGGCTGACCAATAGAGGGTGCTAGGACGCCGCCCCCCCTCCTAATGACCTTGACGAGTAAAGCAGTTTTGTTTTTCGTCGGATTGGCCCTAGTGTGCGAAAATCTTTGGCCTTAGACTCTTGTCAATAGTTGTACATGCGCAGAGCTCATCTTTAATACAGATATATAGGATGGCTCATGGCGCAGGAGAAGTGCGCCCAAAGGTGGCAGGAACTGTTGTAACATTCGTAGTGGGGCTGATTGACAGGTCGAGTCGTGGAAGGGGAATCCTTTAAAGCAAAGCTGGAGGAGAAATCATTTGGACCTGATCAGCCGAAAATCTAAATTAATCAGCAGTCCAAAGACGGAAACGGTCAACTCTGTCTTTTTCCAGGACCTGGTTTAGGGCCAAGACTTGGCCAACTGGATCCAGTGAGACTAATGCTTTATTCTGCTTTCCCTGCCTCCTTTTTCATACATCAAGATCTGACCCAGCATCGATAAAGACAGGTAGGACTGATTTAAAGCACTTTATAGAAAAGGCAAAAAAGCATGAACAATCTGGGATTCATATGGAAAATAATATAACATAGTATACTTTTCTAAATGTTTATTAATTTGCATAGTTGCTCTTAATAAAATCTCGTAAAATAAATAGTTGTTACGTATACAAAAAAATAAAAAGCTGACTAACAGCTCCTCTATTATTAAACTGGTACATAATTTTTTTTAGATTTGTGACACAGTACTGGACCATGCAAAACACAAATTTGCCTTCACAAAGCCTCAGAAGGGCAAACTTTATGTCTAAAAAGTAAACCTGTATGTAAATTAATTTACATTTTTTAAAGTGTTTTATAATGGTTTTGTTGTTGTTGGCATTTATATAAATATTCTGGTATTATAACTTAGTATATGTTTCATTGTTTTTTGGTATACATCTATTTTGAATTTTTTGCCTCCCCTGGAGAAAACTCCACCAGACGCCACTGTGTGAATGTATGCACATACCAAACATCTCATGCAATCGTTTTTATTGCTTTATATTTATAATTCATTATTTTTCTACCAAGCAAGTTCGTACTTTACCTTCTTGTAAAAATTATGTTTTTGGTAATAATGTTTAATCTATTTGAGGATATTATCTGGTAATGGATCTAATCCCCAGGACCACTGTACTGAATATTATACTGTAGTCTCTGCTCCAGCGTCTCTGTCTCTGCTCCAACACAATGATTGCATTCTTTCGTCAGCAGCCACCAAAGACTGCAGAGACCTCTTAATCACCATTTATTGATGTTAGGTGTGTTGAGGCAGAGACTTATCTAAACCATGCCCACCGTTGGGTCCTTAGAACTGGGTTAAAGATCCACTGCTGGTTCCTAATAACCTCTATTTTTTTTTATTATTTTGGAATCTTGTGAATGGGTTGAGAATATGGATTCCAAAACAGATATATTTCTAATTATGGCTTTATACGTATATTATACGTATACCCTGAGAGCCCCACAAGGTGTGGAGGCCTTTAAAAAAGGTCTTAAGACTCACCTTTTTAAACAGGCCTTTTAGAACTGTAAGTTTTGTTTTAAATTGTGGTTTTAATTGTTGGTTTCAATTGTTGGTTTTGGTACCACTTGGTGCGAGATGTGTTGCTGTGGGTCCTACAATTTATTCTTAATTTTTTATTATTACTATTATTATTATTTTTATCTT